ACGGCCCTCCCCACACAGGGTTCCCGCTTTGCAACTGGTTTTCCACCTTCAGATTTTAGTTCATATTAATAAAAATGTGATTTTCCTCTGCCACCCCCAGCCCCTCCACCCCGTCTCTTCGCCTGCTAGGCTCTGCCACTGAAAACAGCAAGGAGGCTTCGTCAGTACATACGGGTCTACCTGTGTACGATGGGGATCGTCATTCTCCTGTCTAATCGGTCACTTCGCGCAGTGTGGGTGTGGGAGGGGCACGTGAGGAGGACGCAGCAGACCTCTGACCATCTCAGTGTGTTAGGCGCACTGAGTGTCCTAGCTGGTGGGCCGCGGTGTCACTCCCCACCTTTTGCTTCCTGAGATTTGACTGGGCAGGGCAACAGCACCTCGCGTGGCAGTTAAAGGCGCGGTCCTGTTTCCCCTAAGATTTACCTCCGTGAGCAAAGCCAGCTGGTAGCTACCTCGCACCTGATTTTGTAAGGTATGTCTCTGCTCAGTAGCTTCCAGATACTGTTGTGTTAAGACTGGGGGCCGGTGTTGTGGCGTAATGGATTAAGCCACTACCTGTAATGCCGGCAGCCCATAGGCGCGCAGGTTTGAGTCCCGGCTGCCCCACTTTGATCCAGCTCCCTGCTATTGCACCTGGGAAAGCAGCAGAAGATGGTACAAGAGCTTGGACCCCTGCACCCCCACAGGAGACCAGGAAGAAGCTCCTGGCTTCAGCCTGGCCCAGCCCTGGCCATTGTGCCCATTTGGGGAGTGAACCAGCAGATGGACGACATCTTTCTCTCTGTCTCTCCTTTCTGTAACTCTGCCATTCAAATAAACACATCTTTAAAAAAATTATCTTAGGGGTCTAAGCTCTTGGACCATCTTCTGCTACTTTCCCAGCTACACTAGCAGTGATCTGGATCGGAAGTGGAGCAGCCAGGACTCAAACCGGCACCCATATGGGATGCTGGTGCTGCAGGCCGCAGCTTTACCCGCTGCGCCACAGCTCTGACCCCTGAAATAAACCTTTAAAAAAAACCTTTAAAAAAAAAAAAAAAAGGGCTGGACTGGGCAGCAGTTCCAGAGAGGAGAGCTTCCCTTACACACCCACACGCCTACGCACACGCAGCTGTGTGTGCAAACACTGCTGGGCTCTCCGTCGCTCAGCTACACTTCCTTTATTAATGCTCACCCAGTCCCAGGACCAGGAGGTAGAATGCCTGGGTTCACTAGCTCATCACTGATTGCCTCTGTGACTGCATAAGTCACATCAACCCTATTTTCCTGAGGGTCACCGGGCAAAGCCAGTGTAAGAATGTCAGCAGCTGGGACTCCAGCCCCTCCTGTCTCCAGTCAGTTTATATGATCAGGCCCTGCCACTTCTTACTCCAGCTCAGTCCTAGAACCATTTGCTTGCTAAGGGAGGAAAAGTAAGTATTCGTCTAAGCTGCTCTTTTAAAAAATGGGGATGGGGGCCAGCACTATGGCACGGTGAGGTAAGCTGCTGCCCACGATGCCGCATCCTGAGTCGGAGTCCTGGCTGCTCCAGTGCCCATCCAGCTCCCTGCTAATAGCCTGGGGAATCAGAGGAAGATGGCCCACGTACTTCGGTGCCTGTCTCCTATGTGAAGACCCCGATGGAACTCCAGGCTCCTGTGTTTGGCCTGGACCCGCTCCAGCCTTTGCAGCCATTGAGGGGTAAAGTAGCAGATGGAAGGTCTCTCTCTGTGTCTCTGTCACTCTGCCTTTCTAGTAAAGGAATAATTAAATAAGAATTTTTAAAAAAAGATTTATTTATTTGAAAGAGTCACACACACACATACACTGGGGGAGGGGGGTCTGCTATCCGGTGGGTCACTCCCCAATTAGCCACAACAGTCTGAGCTGCACCGATCCGAAGCTAGGAGCCTTCTTCAGGGTCTCCCACGTTGGTGCAGGGGCCCAAGGATTTGGGCCATCTTGTACTGCTTTTCTAGTCCATAGCAGAGAGCTGGACCAGCAGTGGAACAGCCAGGACTTGAACCAGTGCCCATATGGGATGCCGGCACTACAGGTGGTGGTCTTACTCGCTATGCCACAGCGCCGGCCCCATAAGAAATTTTTAAAATGTAAGGTTATGGGCCGGCGCCATGGCTCACTAGGATAATCCTCCGCCTTGTGGCACCGGCACACCGGGTTCTAGTCCCAGTCGGGGCTCCGGATTCTGTCCCAGTTGCCCCTCTTCCAGGCCAGTTCTCTGCTGTGGCCAGGGAGTGCAGTGGAGGATGGCCCAAGTGTTTGGGCCCTGCACCCCATGGGAGACCAGGATAAGCATCTAGCTCCTGCCTTCGGATCAGCGCGGTGGCCATTGAAGGGCGAACCAACGGCAAAAGGAAGACCTTTGTCTCTCTCTCTCACTGTCCACTCTGCCTGTCAAATAAAAAAAAAAATGTAAGGTTATGCACCCACAGAAACACATAAAGCTCTGCTGTTACAGGCTGGGATAGTGTCCCTTCAGGGAACAGTGACTGGAGGGGGCAAGAGCAGGTCTTTGGCATGTTGGGGGTATTCTACTTCATGTGCTGGTTTATAAAAATTCATCAACTGTACGCTTACAGAATGCTTCCAAAAATCTGTGCAAAAATGGAGTCAAAAGCCCGTGTAGGGGCGGCTGTGGCACAGTGGGTGGGTTAAGTCACTGCCTGCAATGCCCACATCCCATATCAGAGCTGCGGTTTGAGTCCAGGCTGCTCTACTTCCGATCCATATCCCTGCGAATGTGCCTGGGAAAGCAGTGGGAAAGATGGCTCACTTCCTAGGACCCCTGCCACCCACACGGGAGGCTGGATGGAGTTCCTGGCTCCTGACTTCGGCCTGGCCCAGCCATAGTCATTGTGGCCATTTGGGAAATGAACCAGCAGATGGAAGATCTCTGTCTCTCCTTCCTCTCTATCACTCTGCTTTTCAAATAAATAAATCTTAAGGAAGAAAAGAAAAAAAGACAACGGAGGGGCAGGCCGTTGGCCTAACAGTAGAGCTGCCGGTTGACGCCTGAGTCCCACGCTGGAGTGGCTGGGTTCAGTTCTAGATTCCTGGTAATACAGACGTTCAGGAGAAGCAGGTGATGGCTCAAATAATTCGGTTCCTGCCACTCAGGTGGGAGATCTGGATTGAATTCCCAGCTCCCAGCTTTCGCCCAGCCCAGGCCTGCCCCAGTCCCGGCATTTGGGGAGTGAACTAGTAGATGGGAACCCCCTATCTGCCTCATATGTTAAATAAAAAATAAATGAATGGATGCAGCTGTGTGCTTGGGGCTGCACATTTGGGACCCCATACTGGAGTGCCTGCTTCCAGCCTCCTGCTGCTCTGCGGAGGCAGCTCCCTGCCCGTGTGCACCCTGGAAGGCAGAAGATGGTGGCCACGTACTTGGGTCCCTGCCAGCCGCATGGAACAGCGGCTTCCTGGCTTCAGTCTGGCCCAGCCCTGGCTGTTGCAGACATTTGGAGAGTGAACCAATGGATGGAAGATCTTTGTGTGTTTTTCTTTTTGTCTTTCAAATAAAATAAATACATACACTTAATAATGATTCCGGTTATATTAAAAAAAAAAAAAGAAAGAAACAGAACACAGGAAAGCCCGTGTGGGGAGGGGTCTCCCCTTTCGCTTCTGTTCCCAGCTCTCACCCCCCCCCCCCGCCACCCTGTTGCCATTCCTGAGTGTTCTTCCTTCCGAAGGCTCCGTGCACATGTGCCTTTGTGGGTGCATGCATTTCATTTTTTCTTCATTCGAAGGACAGCATATTACGCCCACCAAGCCCTCTTCTCAGTCCATGATACCTCAGTCCATATGCTTATAAGGACTGTTCACTCTGGTGTCTGCAGTGCCTAGCCCAGGGCCTGGCATATAAATGTAAATAACATCTTCCCGCAGAGTCTGGGTGCAGCACAGAAATTAACTCCTGGGTGGGTGAGGACCTGCGCCTGGACACCAACAGAGCCCAGCAGCACTGCTCCCTGCCCTGGGCTGCTTCCCAAAGCCTGGGGTGGGGGCGGCAGAACCCAGACTCAGCCTCTTCAGCTGGCTGAGAACCCCACCTCTGGGTGTTGTCGCCAGCAGGTGACTTCCCGAGCTAACTTGCTGCTGCCACCTCCATGTCTCTGTTTCTTCCTCCCTCCCCTCCCCATCCCTCCCTGCCTTTCCTCCCTCCCCTCCCCACTCCTCCCTCCCCTCCCCATCTCCTCCCTCCCCTCTCCATCTCCTCCCTCCTCTCTCCTTCTCCTCCCTCCCCTCTCCATCTCCTCCCTCCTCTCTCCTTCCTCCCCTCCCCCTCTCTCCCTGTTTCTCTCCTTCTTCCCCTCCCCATCTCTTCCTGTCTCTCTTCTCCCTCTCCTCTCCATCTCCTCCCTCCCCTCCCCGTCTCTCCCTCCTTCCCTCCCATCTCTCCCTGGCTCTCTCTCCCCCCTCTCTCTCCCCTCCCTGTCTCTCCCAGTTCCCAGTCTCTCTCCTTCCTCCCCTCCCCCCTCTCCCTCCTACCCCTCCCCTCCCCGTCTCTCCTCCCTTCCCTCCCCATCTCTTCCTGTCTCTCTCCTCCCTCTCCTCCCCATCTCCTCCCTTCCCTCCCCATCTCTCCTCCCTTCCCTCCCCCATCTCTCCCTGTCTCTCCTCCCTCCCCTCCCTGTCTCTCCCTCCTTCCCTCCCCATCTCTCCTCCCTCCCCTCCCCGTCTCTCCCTGGCTCTCCTCCCTCCCCTCCCCATCTCTCCCTGGCTCTCTCTCCCCCCTCTCCCTCCTTCCCCTCCCTGTCTCTCCCAGTTCCCAGTCTCTCTCCTTCCTCCCCTCCCCCCTCTCCCTCCTACCCCTCGTCTTTCCGTCTCTCCTCCCTTCCCTCCCCATCCCTCCAAGGCTCTCCCTCCTTCCCTCCCCATCTCTCCTCCCTCCCCTCCCCGTCTCTGTCTCTCTCCTTCCTCCCCTCCCCCCTCCCTCCTTCCCCTCCCCTCTCCGTCTCTCCCTGGCTCTCCCTCCTTCCCTCCCCATCTCTCCTCCCTTCCCTCCCCCCGTCTCTCCCTGTCTCATCCCCCTCTCCGTCTCTCCCAGGCTCTCTCCTCCCTCCCCTCCCCATCTCTCCCTGTCTCTGAGGGTTCAGGGTGTAGCCTCGCAGTCAGTTTAGGGGTGAGGGGCACAAGGAAAGACGGGGTGGGGCCCGGAGGACTGGCGCCCCGCACGGAGGCGGCAGCGGGAAGTTAGCCCGAGAGGACGTTTCCCGGAGAAACGCACCCGCTCGCGCTCCCCGCGCTCGGAGCCGCCTCCGGCCGCCGGGCCCCTCCCTCCCCGGCTCCTCGCCTCCCCCTCCCGGCCGGCGCCCTGGCTCCCGGGCCTCCGCGCCGCCGGCTCGTGAATGAGACGCTCACTTTCTCAATGGAGCCGCGGGGGGCTCGGGCGGGCGCGGCGCGGCCGTGAGCCGGGCGGGGGACGCCGCCCCCTCGCGCCCTCCCTCTCGCCGCCGCCGCTTTTGAGGAACCGGGCCGGGAGGCGGCCGCGCGGGGCGCAGGGCCCGCATCCCCGGGGACGCCCGGCGGCGCGGCCAGCAGCGAGGCCCCGCAGGCCAGCGGCCTCCGCGAGCTCTTGATCTGCCATTTCCTCTTTTGATGCCGGGCGTCTGCTCGCCCGCTCGCCTGCGCCTTCTCCCCTCGGGAGAGTGAGGGAGGCAGCGAAGAAAAGGAGCAGGGTCTTCCCCGCAGACGCGAGCGGGCGCCCCGAGAGGTTTTCCTCCAGGGAGCGGCCGCGGGCGCAGGGCCCCGCCGCCCGGCCATGCGCGAGCCGGCCTCGGGCTGCTGAGGCGCGGGGAAGCGGAAGCGGAGGCCGAGCGCGCCGGGCCACTCCAGTCCGCCGGGAGGCGGCGGCGGCGGCTGCGGGATGGAGCCCGCGGCCGCGCCCCGGCCCGACATGGCGCCGGAGCTGACCCCGGAGGAGGAGCAGGTAAGGCGGGCCGCCGCGGTGGGTGTGTCCGGCCCCGGGGCCTGCGCCGGCCGCTGCCTCCTGCAGCCGCTCCCGGGCCCGGGGCCTGCGGGCCTGGGGCTGCGGGCCTCGCCGCAGTCGCAGCGGGCGCCTCCCGCCTGCCGCCCCGGCCCCTGCGCCCGCCGTAGGTGTCGCGCCGTTTGCCCTGGTCAGGGCTTGTGGGGTTCCCCGGGAGGGTGGAGATGGCGCTGGGGACAGGGCTGCCCCAGGCTTGCTGGCAGGCCTCGGCGGCCCGGCCGCCCGGGCTGGGCGCAGCCCCCCAGCCCCGCTTGCCTGCCCCACCTCTCCTGCGCGTCTCCATCTTTCGGAAGCTTGCATTGGGCTCCATTGTCCCTAACCGCTGTGACCTTCAGTTCCCTGGAGGAAGTGGTTTGCGGTGTCATTGGGGGGGGGGGCGGTTGGGGAAGGGACGAGCCCAGGGCCCCGGGAGCTTTCCCAACCCCGCGCCGTGGCCGCGGGGACGTGGACCCCTCCGTGTGGACCCCTCCGTGGACCCCTGCGTGTGCCCGCCGCGGCGGGGCCCAGGGCTTCTCCATCTCCCTCGGCGTGGCCCGTGCTCAGCCCCCGCTATGCTCACACAGAGCCGCTGGCTGACTCCCCGTGTGTGTGTGTGTGTGTGTGTGTGTTTTAAGTGATAAAATAAGGAAAAAACGGGGAGAAAGGACAAGGTGGACCACGTGGGTGACCCATTTCCAGCTGGCCAGGCCCCCGGGTGTGGGCAGCCTGGTTTTACAAAGCGATGTTGGCTCAGGGGGCTTATTCAACAGCCCCTGACTTTAACTCCGCATTTGTGGACATGGCATTTTCCACATTTGGTCGCAGACCCAGTTTTGCCTTTTGGTGCTGTGAGATAAAATAAGCATGCAGGGAAAAAATAAAATTAAAAAAAAAATAAAAATAATTCGGCTTGGTACAAGCCCAGGGGCCTGGTCGCTGCAGTTGGACGCCATTCAGAGGGAGGTGGGCAGGTGTCCCCTGCTGGCGAAGGCGTCCGTACTAAGGTGTGGTGGGCTGGCTGGGTATTCCAGACACCAGCGTCTTCCCTTGTCCTCCTCCCTCAGCTCTGTCAGATTTGAAATTTCTCTGTTTATGAAACTCAAAGGCATCAGGTCTGTATGACAGTGGTATAGATTCTAAATTAAAAAATTAACACTGGAGAAAATAAATATTGAAATATTCACAAAAGGTTTTCATCAGATTCTTTTTTTCCCCCCGTCTTACAAAATGCTTAATGTTCTACAGGTCTTTCAAAACGTTGAAATAAACATAAAAGAAACATAGTTCTAATTACAGTAATACTTGCTCTTCTATTTTAATATGATGTCCTCTAAGAGTAGTCTTAACTGTTACTGTTTCTTTAAAGTCTGCAAGCAGCAGTAACTGTGTGTGAGTCTTATGAAGGGATGGTCGTGGGAAATGGCACTTTCATTCCATGATGCTGCCCAACGCATTGCTCAAACCATTTCAGAACTCATTTGGGTTGATTTCACAGCTTCCGCAGCGTCTTCAAAATATCTTGGTGTTGGAAAATCCTTGTCCTTTTGAGAGTCAATTCGAGTTTTGGAAATAGCAAGAAGCTCTTTGGGAATCCTGTTTTGTAAGTAAGGTGGAGACTAAACACATTTTCAGGCAAAAGTAATGTGCTTGCAGGCCCCTTTGGGGTGTGTGCGCTGCCTTCCGGAAGCTTCTGGAGCAGATCCTCCTGGTTGGTGCCTCCTGTTACACAGTGAGGCTGCAGAAACCCAGCAGTCTTGGACACTTTGCTGTGCCCTGGCCCCTGCTCATCCTCACACCTTCCTGAGGATCTCTTTAAAGCATCAGCTTCCTCTCGTGGCCACCACCCCCCCTCCGCCTAGTGAGCTGCTGTCCTGTCCTGACAGGACTTTTATTTTCTGCTTGATCCATCTGTGTTCCAGAAGCCAGAGTCAAACTGCAGCTCGGCCTGCCTGTGCCCCGAGCGAGCGAGCGTTCACAAACCCTGAGTGGCCTGGGGCCCACACTTCACCCCTGCTGTGCTGGGTGCACTGGCCTTTATTTTATTTTAACATTTATTTATTTGAAAGAGTTACAGAGAGAGAGGGAGGGAGAGAGAGGTCTTCCATCTGCTGGTTCACTCCCCAAATGGCTGCAGTGATCCGAAGCCAGGAGCAGGAGCTGATTCTGAGTCTCCTGCGTGGGCGCTGGGGCCCGTGGGCTTGGGCCGTCCTCTGCTGCTTTCTCAGCATTGGCTGGGAGCTGGATCGGAAGTGGAGCAGCCTGTGGGACTTCTGCGCTGCAGGGGGGGCTTTCACCAGCTGCACCAGAGTGCCTCCCCACCTTGCCGGGCCCCCTGCTGCGGGGTCTTTGGTTTGGAGACCTCTGCCGGGTGGGTAATTCCCTTCTCATCTTGCCCCTCGCAGTCCTGTTCCTTGGCCTCCTCGCTCAGCTCTGTCACGCGGTCCCTGCACACTTGCCTGGCTGCCCGGCCGGGAGCTCCTTGGACATCCTGTGTGCCTTGCTCAGCGCGATGACTGGACTGGGTGGGCGTTCAGGAGGTGTCTGCAGTGACGGGGGAGGGGGGTGTCACTCCCCTCCCCACATGCAAGTAGGCAGCATCAGCTCCTTTCTGAGCGGCTATGAAAGCAAGGGCATCGGCGTGTGCATGTGTGTTTGGAAGGTCTCCACCTACTTCCACCCTCCTTTCCTAGCTGGGCACCTGCTGGCCTGATGCAAATTCTCCTTTGTAACTTTGTTGCCTCTTTCTTTCCCCTCCAGTTCCTCATTAATGACGGAGCTCATAGTTGATTGGGTTACAAGGACAAATGTGATTTGCTTTTTTTCTTTTTTTAATTTAATTTAATTTTTTTATTTTTTGATTTTAAGGAGCATCCATGAATAAAAGCAAAGCCGTATTAGTGACTTTCTGGGTGGGGCTCTGCCTGAGCATTCACAGCGCGTTCCCCCAGACTGCAATCAAATCCCCTGATTTTGCAAACAAGAAAGACGTACCCAAGGTCGTAGCGGAGGGCGAATCCTGGAGCTGTACACTCCACCCAGTCTCTTCTGCCTCCATGACGGACGTTTCCGCTGTCAGACTGCATTACTTCCCATTAAGCAATTAGCCAATTTTCTCAGATGCCCAAGTGGCTATAGAATAGCTGATGTTGTGGGTTTTGATACTGATATATGTGTTTGGCTATGGTCATGCTTCTTAAAGTACAGAGGAGCAGATTTGGAAGAGTTTTATTCAGAACTACGTGTGCCAGCAGAAACACATTGTACACTCTGTTTTATAAGAAATTGTGATGAAATGACTCTTGGAAAAAGTTTATTTCTTACAGTAGAGTTGGCAGTTCTCCATGGGGGTCACAATCACAATAAATAATTTTATTTTCTTTGTACCTTCTTTGTCCTGTACAAGAGGAATAACTATTCTTGGAGCCAAATACGCAGCCTCTTCTCCCTCCCAGCTGTGAGAACCGGGCTGTGGTCGTGTCCCTGTGTTTTCCGGCGCGTGTCTGCGCCCAGGTGGGAGGCTTTCTTAGCAGGCTGCCGTGTGGGCTGCGGAGGCTCTTGGCTGCCTCTGGCCTGCTGCATCCTCACGATGTCCCGTTAATTTTGCTTTCCCACAGCATGTACTCATATTGATAGCTTGGCCTGAAGTTGGTCGTGTTTTTGAATTTGCTAAATTATAATTAGCTTGGCCACAAAAGTGATGAATATTGTACTCATCTATTCTCTGTGCGAGCTACAGAAAGTCACATAGAACTCCTTGGGTTATACTTTTGTCTGTTTGGACATAAATTGTGAGAACCTCCTCTTTGAAATAAACCATAAAGTAAAGACTCTTAACCAGAACTCTAAGGATATGGAATTCAGTAATTATAGCCTTGGAGGGTCTTTTGGTTTTGCATGTAGTAGTGATTGACAGAATAGGACAATAGTTTTCTTAAGTACTTAAGCTTCTATTCATATTTTTATTTAAATGGCTTTAATAACTCATACAGTGCTTCCTTCACATTAAAAATAATTCATGATTTAGTTTGTATACTTAAAAGTTGCTACAGCAAGCAGTCTGCTAGTATTTATTTTCAAAGTCTCTAAAGAAAATTATTTTAGAGTTCACAGCATTATAAGGATTAATAGGGAAGTGCGTGTATCCAGTGCTTACGTAGGAGCAGCCATTATTAATGATATTCCTTGTCTTGAGCGGGGAGAAGTTCTAGAGCCAAGTTAGCTTAAACCAGCCCAAGGGGGAAGAATGTTCGCGCGCACCCGGACGCCGGCCCTCCGCCTCCTGTGGGTTTTGTGAGTGCCAGGAAACCATTGCATCTTTGTAGTTTCCCCAGACCTGTTCTGATTCCATGCTGTGGTTTGGATTTTTACAATGGACTATTTTGAAGTTAAAAATTTAGCTGCCGTACAGTGGACTTAAGAGATTGTTGGCACTTCTCCCAAGGGCAGGGGTTTTGTCCTGTCTTGTGGCCAAGAACTTCCCTTTTCCCACAGTCTTACGTGTCTGTGCTGAATGTCATCTGTCCCCCCGGAAGTAACTGTATGTCAGGGCCGAGTGGTTCACAGGCTTCCAGAGAGAAAGGACGGAGGGAAGGAGGACTCTCGATGCTTTTGTTGCTGGTAGTAATCAGCGAGACTGTAATCGGCAGTTAGTCTCACTTGGATGTGAGAATTTTATTCTGATGGTTTTAAGATTTATTTATTTATTTGAAAAGCAGAATTACAGAGAGGCAGAGAGAGAGGTCTTCTATTCACTGGTTCACTCCCCAAATGGCCACAACGGCAGGAACTGGGCCGATCCAAAGCCAGGAGCCTGGAGCTTCTTCCGGGTCTCCCAGGTGGGTGCAGGAGCCCAAGGCCCTTTGGGCCATCTTGCTCTGCTTTCCCAGGTCACAGCAGAGAGCTGGATTGGAAGTGGAGCAGCCGGGACACAAACCAGCACCCACATGGATGCCAGCACTGCAGGC